TGTGTGTGTGTGTGTGTGTGTGTGTGTGTCAAGGTCTGCAGCGTGCATGTGTGCGTGCCCGGCAGCCTGGATGCCAAATTGGGCCTTGAGTTATGTGATGGAGGGGAGAGATTACAACAAATCACAAAGCCCCATTCAGCCTTGAGACGCCTCTTAGGGAAAACTCTCTCAATGCTTTTTTAATTAGAGCAACCACTCGGCACACACACCCATACACACACACAAACACACACCTGTGTCTGTTAGTTTCAGGTTTTATCTCTCTCTCTCATTACTGACTATTTCTGTTCTTGATTTGCTTTTCAGATTGCTTCAATACCTTCGATCCTGGACTGCTGTGGGTGTGTTGCTTATTATTGTGTAATCAGTGTGTGTTTAAAGTTGTGTGTGGACTGAACACCTGCAGAGCCGTGCGGCTGAGGATGTGTGGCCGAGTGCTGCCCTGTATCAGAGTGTGTCTCTGTGTTTGTGTGTCAGCAGCATATTGCTGGGCTTACAGGGCAGCGGCGGCGCCAACCCCAGCGCCAGCACTCATTCATTACATCACCTACACACACACATACACACACATACTCACACACACACACACACACACACACACACACACACACACACACAAGGGCGTATAGAGCTTCCCGCAACTACCTGCTTTGTTCAGCACAGCGCATCTTTGGCTGCTGGCTTGATGAGCGGTGATCTCATTTTGAACAATCCCTGGGATTCCACAAGTGCGTCAGTGTGTGAAGTCATTGTTTTTGATAAGTGTGTAGTCGTGTGTGTGTGCTTGTGTCGGTAAGAGAATACTCTTCATTGTGTAAGAACTGTTTGTTAGAGATCCCTTAAGTTTCTCTGTCTGCTTTCCATTTCGCATGTGTGTGTGCTGTTGCCACATCACATAAACAGTCAGGGTGTGTAGATTCGTACTATATAACGCAGATTACAGAGCCAGCAGGGTAATTGAAGAGCAAACATCTCATTACATCGAGAACATTGTATACAGCCTTAGCTTTATTACAGGCCACAACTCATGGCTACTTTAATACAGTTTGACAGGATGAAGGCAGCAAGAGGAGGGAAAAGAAAAGGACATGAGGCAGGCAGGCAGGAAAGGGGGGAGTGTGAAAGTTTGAATGCAGCTACACAATCTCCCTGCTTAAACGTCTTTCGCTGCTCACACACACTTTGATGAGTGGTGTCATTTTACCTGGGTAAGCAGACACCTCCAACCCTCACCGGTCACCGCCATGCAGGTGAGGTAAACGTCTCCCAGGCAACGGCACTGAGAGGGGTGGCACTGTGGCTGCAGTACTGTGGGGGCGACCATAGGGTCTCTGGCAAAATAATGTTTGAGTGAAACATTGATCGTCCTGGAAGTCAAGTTCAGTGTGAGGGCAATGCACAGAAGAGAAGTATGCAGAGGTGTGGGGAGTGAGAGGGAGAATCAGATGTAGTGTTTTCCTCATCAGAATAATACTCATCCCAAACACACACACATATTTTTCTGCAATTTGACTAGATTAGTTTGCCCTTTATGATAATGAACTTATCTTCACTGCTGTAGCTGACAGAGTGTTATATTACAGGATATTTTCAGGATATTTAAAAATAAATGTCATCATCAGATTACATAAAAGCACTAGCCATTTCATAAGTCACTTGAAATCAACATTCAAAGAGGTATTGTTTATGGAATAAGAGCTAATGGTTTGTTTTACAAGACGTGCAGTGTGTTTGATGTTGCGGGGAGGCAGCTGGAAGACATCAGCGTGGCGCTGACAGAGAGGGAGTCTGTATACACAAGGATATACAGAACTGATTTACCCTCAGGACAGTGTGTGTGTTGTGTGTGGCTCCTGTTACATAACTTGTAATAGATACACCTGCTGAACAGTTTGTACCTGATCCAGCTGTGTGTCCTCTGTCTCTGAGAATAGGCCGGACAATAAGGAATTCAGTCAGTCTTGAATGTAGAGACATCTGGAGCTGTATATGTTCGGACTGCTCAGGCTGGATGAAACATCTTGGAGCATTGACCAGTGTCACATTATCTTAAAGTGTCCCCTGTCTGATTTTGGCTGTAGTGCCACACTGACTTATCATCTGAAAGGCTTTTTCTGCACGCACAAGCTCAAACTTACATATCTACTTCAGCATGATGCAGTTCCTCCCTAAATATCTGTTTCGAAATGTTATTGAATTTTTTCAATTAATTTTTTAACACCACTGAAACATAAACAAAGTAACAGTGGCTCCCGATGCACACATTCTATTGTAACTTGGATTTCTCCACAACTGGACTTCTTTTCTAAACAGGACTTTAATGTTATTTGTTTGGCCACATGACCTAAGGTCTGGGTTAAAAAAAATATTTGGATAATGAAGGAGGGATGGAAACCAAGATGTCATATGAAGTTATAGGGCTGCTATATTTGAGCAAAATACCCTAACTCATTGCTGTTTGTATAATCAGGAGGACAGAGGCCCTGAGTAACATTTAAAGTGCTTTCACACTTTCACAAAACTCTTGAAAACTTCCTGCAGTTTCAGGGTGAGCTGCCCCCCCCCCCAGTACATTATCAGTCTGAAATCAGGCTGAGCTGATGTTGCGCAGCAAGATACACTCAGGAAATTTCCCCTGGGGCAAGCAGGGTCGGGTGGCTGAGTCAGGTGGTGACTTTTTCACCCTAAGACCGGTGCACGACCATATATGTATGCAAACACTCAGAAGAAACAGCAGTTTACCTGCTCATCACTGTGTATTCCTGTTCATGGTACTCTTTGGCAGTGCTTTGACTTTCATGTACTATATAGTCTCCGTGCATACATTGTCATAGCCATGGCTTGCCACAAGATGGGAGTGGTGGGCAGATGTTTGTAGGTTCACTTGATATTAAAAATAAACTGAAGATATTGTAAGTGTACTCAGAAGAATAGATGCTGTCAATGGAATGTAGGTCAATCTGTAAGGGATGCCAGTTTTCTATTTCTGCAATGTTTCCAAACAAGACTCCACGCTCAGAACCGCCGGCTATACACCAATAAAAAACACACAGACCAATAAGGTAGATTCCCTTAATGCTGCCTTGAGGCCCTGGTCGTAGTCACCCTGACAACCACCTTCCCTGATGACAACACCCTGACAGCAGCATTCCTCCACACAAGTGTCCTTGTAGTGTTTGCATGCTCTGCACACTCGTTCGTGCACACTCTCCTTTGAGATTCCTAGAGCTGTCACATCCAAACGTTCCTCCTGACAATGTCACACATCTTTGATCACACTCATATTTGAATGTATCTGGGGCATGTTTGGCATATTGCAATACAGCTCAAAGGTGAAGGCAGGGTACATCCAACGCGCAGACACACTAAAGTGCACTTTCATAGCTCTATGACAAATGAGATAGTGAGCTCAGAGAACTCTTACCAGTGCAAATGGACTGGGTGTGGTTCTGGTAGTGCCGCATTAAGAGGCAGCATCTCTCTTGGAGCGTTTTATTGCGGATCGTTTTACACTCCTCGATCGGAGGCTTGAGTGATATCATCCTTCAGTCCTCTTCCTCTAATGGACACGCATATTTGCACGGTGTACTGTATGCATTCAAAGTCCTTTCTGGAATTTCTCAGGAAGTCCAGCAGCTAAAAATCAATTCCTGTTCTAGGAAGAAACAGGAGATTGTAAATGTTAGTTATCCTCACTCCCCCAGTAAATCTACTTTTTATAGGAGGTATTTTTTTTTTATCTTCTAGCAGGCCGCTACACATCAGAGGGATTGGGGTGTGCCGGGGGGTGGGGGGGGGGGGCACGTGATCATGGTGACCACAATGAGAAGTATGTGGTTTCACTTTCTTGTGCCCTCATCATCACACTCCCTGCCTCTTCCTCCATTTTGTTCCCGCTTAGAATCTCAGTTTGACATGGTATGCGCAGCATGCTACGCGATAATTCCTCCATCTGACCTCGTTTAGCAGAATGACTGTTATCGATCTGCAAGTGTGTCAGTTGTGTTCCCATCATTGGAGTTTTATCATCCTCTCTGCAAATGTCATGGTATCGTCGTTGTTGGATATGCCCTGTCAAGACATCATGATATTCAGATGGTGTTCATCTGAAGTAGGAAGAGGAGGCAGAGGGAAACCAAGAAAAAAGCAGATAAGAGGCGTGACAGTCAAAGTCAGGGAAATGGCAAATGTTCTATTGATCAGCATTGCCCTCTTCTTTCAGTACCTTCCTATGTTTGATAATTGATAATGTAATTATTATTTCACATTACACTAACAGCTCTGTTGAATATAAGCTTCTTCCGAATCCCATATCACCACTGTTACTGTGACTCACCCATCTGGTTCAGCATCTGTAATTTCCTCCAAGCATAGCTGGAACATTCTCATTTGAAAAAAAAAATGTTTGATCTGTCCGACCAGTTGACTTGCACATATCCTGCTCGCTCTGCTGTTTATCTCTGTCACAGTGCATGTGTGTGTTCACATGTGTGTGGGTGTGTGGGTGCTTATCATGAGAGCTGCACCTTTGAAGATCACTTGAATAATTGAGCATCCCTCTTTTTTTGTTTTATCGTCCCACTTTCTGTGGCTTATTTCTACAGGCGGAAAGGCTGTCGAGACACTGCTCGCTTTCCCGTCAGCTGCTTTCTCTCTGTGTGAGCGTGTCTTTTTCTCCATCACTACGTTGTTTTGACAATGTCTGTCAGCTGTGATTATAATGGTTTTGCAATGTAAGGAACTCTGCTTGCTTCAAAAGGAAATAATGGTGCATTTAAAGAGTGCCATTTGACATGTAGGAAAAGTGTGTGAATCCATTTTCATGATTTATAGAGAAAGAATAATGGTGTGTGTCTGTTTGTGCTTTTTTTTTGTTTTACTTCTCTCTGACACTGAAAATGCTCAACTGTGTGAATGCTCAGCTCTCGAGCTCTGCGCTCTCAGAGAGAGAAAGTGGGAGGGGCACTTGCATTCACACAGTCACACACAGCTTGCCAGTGTCGGATGCTAACCCTTGCTTCAGCAGCTGGATGTAAAGGACTGGAAGCGTGTCAGCTTGGACAATTGGACTGATTTGAGTGTTTGCGTTTGATTTTTTTCACCCTGGATCGGTGTGTATACGTCAGAGCAAGCTTGTTTGAAAGGAATTGTGTCAGTGGGTCTTCAGCACACAAACACTGCACGGTGGCTGGTGTGTGTTGGCAGCACTGAATCAGCAGGAAATAACTTGACCACAGGGATTACAGGTTATTGACTTTGACTGGAGTGTGTATTTTCATGCAGGCGAGCAAGAGACTGTGGGAAGGTCTTAGAAGAAACACAAATGTAATGTCACAGAACAACGAGATGTGAGAAGGGGATTCAGGACTGCCCCAAAATGGGGAACAACGTCCAGAAGAAGAAGAAGGTCCAGACAGAGAAAAACTTCTCAGCGTCCCCGTACCCGAGCCCTAAACGGGAAAAACCTAAAGGCTTGAGGCTGTTTGGACTAAAAGACAAACTGAAATCAGGTAAGAAGTTCACAGGATGCGTTGATGCGTAGGCATCAGGAGTTGTAATTGTTTTGTGTTTGTTGTGTTCTTAAAGGACTGACTGTTGAAAATGCAGCATGTTGTTTTTTTTTTTTGCATTTTCAACATCCTGTTTTACTGTAGATGTGCACAAAGCACATTTTTAAAAGCATTGAGTTTGGAGCAAGCTTCTGAAGTTTGCTGCGTTTGCCTTTGGTCGGGTGGTCATCTGTGTAAATGAGTTCCTTCAGTAAGCTTTTTCAGATGCAGGGTGACAACATTCCCATGCTGACTTTAGCGTAGTCAGCTTCAAGACTTCCTGCTTATTGCACAAGTGTGCAGAAGAGGGCTGTGTGTGGGCAAGCGTGTTTTTGTTCTGGTGATTTGTTTCTCCTGCTGACAGGTCAGTAGGATGACAGAGGGCTCTGATTTAACGTGTGTATGTCTGTGTGGGATCTTGCAGAAAGGGTGGTAATTGTTTTATGTTGCTTTAAGGTGTTTTTGAAAGGGACCACTATACCTGCAGTGGAAAACAGAGCGTTGCACAATGATCATTGTCTCAGTTAACAGCCCCTGAAGCAACTAAAAGCACCAGACATACAGGTTTAACTCAAGCTCACACTGACTCAGACTGATTGTCAGATCTGCCTCTGAGATTTGTTGCTGTTGACATTTTCTTTTCCTCACACGTTGCCTTTTGTGTTCCATGTTTTCTGTTCACATTGTGGACTATTTTTATACTACTAGTGTTTATCATGAAATTCCAGACCGTCATTCATCTACCTTTGAAGTGTTGAACTTTAAATTCCTGAAAACTTGTATATCAACTCTTGGTGTTAAAGCTGCAAACATCCATATCCACACGGGGAATTCTGTTTTGATTCAGCCTTGCTAAACTTGAGCACGATAAATGTATTTTTTATTTTTGGACTTGCAATCTTATATCCAGTTGCAGTATGCAGATGTTTCAGGCAAAACAAGCCCTGAAAAAACTGCTATTTGTACTTGCAGACTAACTTGAATTGCCTATTGATGAACAAGTGAAGCATTTTGCTGATAAAGCCAGATATGTCAAAATTAAGTTAATAGTTTCTCGATATTATGGTGACAGCCTTTTCTGAAATTCAGACTATTTCTCATTTCTGTGTCTCTTGTCAAGGATGATTGGCCCCATGATGTTTGTATTTCCTTTTTTTAAAAGTACTGACTTTGTCAGATTTTGTCCTGACAGAAAGTCAAAGAGAAAATAACTTTGAAGACAGTTTTAGTGTTTCTTTCTCTTTCAGTTTTTCATGTTGCCTTGTTCTATGTTACTATGGCATAGACTATTATCTTTAATCAATCTAATATTTTGAATCTGAGTACTTTAGGAAAACATTAGCATACTTAATACACTTGACTGAGTTAGCATGACAAAGTTCTGCGAAAATATGTCCCATTCTGCAAAGAAAAATGTTTTAATGTTTTCCAAAAACTCATATTTAGATGTTTGTGAACCTACTGTTGGCTTAAGGATTCATGTGTCCACAGCCAACCTACTGGAGATCAGTGTTGACTTTTTCTTTAGCTATGTTGTTGTTTGGCTATAAGTTATAAATGGTGCTGATTTGAATATTACCAAATGCATCCACCTGCTTGCATCCTTAGACAGCATGAAAAAATGAAGGACAGCTGACAGAGCATTTTTCCATGTGGGTGCATTTTGTATTGCAATCAGACGTTCAGGTTTCGTATTGAAGCCTTTCTTTTGTTGACATTGTTTGTTGTTTGTTCAATCCAGCCTTTAGTATTATCTTGTTTTCCACCAATATGGCTCGGAATAGGTCCCTGAAGCTCCTGCCTTCCATGGTGACAGCTGACCTCCCTGAACCTTGTGAGTTCATGGTATGGAGATATGCATTAGCTGTCTGTTCAACAAGACTGGGCAGTTGAGCAACCTACTTCATCAAAACATGATGTTGGCTTTTGTGCGTGTGTGCGAGTCTGCAAATGAGAGGCGCTCTGGTCGTTCTAGATAATAAACGTGTGTTCATATAAACACATCTTGATTTCATTTTCCGTCAGGGTGGTCCGCGTAGATGTGGGTGTGTGTGTGTGATGCGTTGTCCTCTGCTGTCCTGCATACGCCGCCTCATTGATGGGGAGTTTATTCAGAAACTTGGGGTGTGAATGCATTCCTACATTCCGGCCGATTACCTTATGCATGAGCACCCATCCAGCACCCAAACACATCAACTCAATCTTGTTCAAGAGAGGCTGTTGACTACACAAAACCCCGAAATGAAGCCAGCAACAGAAGCATGGAAAGACTGCATTGTAATACATTATCAGTTGTCATTGCTGTCGTATAGATGTATGTATGTAACGTTTTTATATACCTGTAAACCAAAGCTAATGGATTAAAGCCTCAGTAAGAGCAGCATGCACACATTACATGGTGTCTCTGTGCTGCAGTACAGCAGCTCCTCTCCTCTGTACAGCAGGCTGATGAAACATGCAGAAGATGAACTCGGGGACTAGATCCTCACTCTGTGCTCCTGGAATATGTGTCATGTCTGTGCATTTGGCAAGTTTTCAAAGCAGAAACCCCGCCTGTGTCCTTCTCAACACCTGAGAGGTTGTTAATGTTTGTCCGTATAGCATGTAACAGACTGAGAAGCTACTGGATGTCACACATTGAATCCCTGGGTTTGTATTTTTAGTGAAGGTCATCCAAGGAGGTATTTCTTTCTTCACGTCAGGATTCCCATTAGCTTTTGCTCTGTCATGGACAAGCTGGTTTTGAATGGAATGTAAAATAACATATTTCAAAAGTTAATCTCATGTTTGAATTTTGCAGTTAAAAATAAAAATTGTTAGGCTCTCATTTTGAATTTCTGTACTGTCTTAAGCTGTACTTTGCTTGCTGTTTAAATTCAAGCACGCTTTTATTTTGAAATACAGTAATACATTTCTGGTAGATGGAAGGTTACAACATTACCTTGACCACGGAAACAGGAACATACGGATAAAAAACTAAATGAAAACAGCTCAAAGGAACGGTAACTCGTCAGCTGAGCGGTCTTTTTGTAAAGTGAAATGAGACATTTAAAGATGCAGCAGTGTTGTTCTTTTCCATCACTGTGACTACAGGGAGACCCTGCTTATCAACGGTCACCCAAGGGGACAAAATAGCATGTGATTAATCGCGCTAAAAAAAGATGAACGCATTGATTTCAGACCTTAATTAATTGTGATGAACTGGTTAATGCTGGCAGCCCTAGAAATGACCAATAAGTTAACATGTGTTCTGTACATTTAGTCTCAAACACTGAGACAATGTGTAGACTGGATTGCTGCAGTGTTTATGTGTAAAATGTTGCACATTAATCGTCTAAGAGACACCTCGAGAAGCAATGAAGAAGAGTTACAAATTGGGGTTCCACAAGATTTATACAAAGTGTAAAAACGGCTATTACAGTTTTCTAAAGTGCATGGAGATATCCTAGCTAGCTATCAGACTTAACCCAAAGATTTCTTTCTACTATCATCATAATTGGAGAAATTTGTCACATTTGGAAGGCGAGAACCAGAGGATGTTTGACAAAACTGAAGCAATTAACTGATATCCAATTAGTTGCAGTTTACTACTTGTCAATTCATCAACGTGTTGTGTCAGCTGTAGGAGGGGTTACACAGACTTGTCGATTAGTCGACTTTTCAGCTGTGCGATGACGCTTTATGCCTGATGTCGACTTTTCACTTGCGAAGCAGAGCAGGATTCTTTGGCACAACTTCACCAACTACCAAGGTGCATGAAGAGTGAAAGACTTCTAAAGAGGTCTAAAAGCTCCTGCAACACTTGTAGTATGAAGATCAACTTCATCAAAGTTAATAAGGTTGATGTTTTGCCCTCCTCACTTATGTGGGAGTTGTAGCACACATGTTATTGTTACAAACTTTGTTGCAGCTGTTGCAGCCTGTTTTTTCATTATGTATTATCTGACTGCTTTCAGCCGCATATGCATTACGTTTAGAAAATAGATATTTCTGCTGGTTGCAAAGCATTCCCATCTCCAGGAGAAGAACATTGGATTTCCTGTTCAAACTTTAGAGAGTATATAAGAGTGTTGTCTTTCTGGGGATAACCTAGTTGAACCTACAAGTTTTCAAACTTTTCCTCACCCAGTTCAGTCACATAATCAACTCTTCACTTCCAAGTGTTTGGATTAAGTTTCCCTGTTTACACAGTGGTGTTTTAGACAGGACAGTCACAACGTCAGTCCACCGCGCTGTTTTGTGAAAAAAGATGCTGAGACGGAATGGGGTTATGATGTCGTTACGCCGTTAAGAGAAATTAGAAACAGAGTTGTTTTGAAGTCTGTGTAAATGGGAGAGTGACAGGATGGGACAGTGCTGCTTCTGTGTTTCTGTGTGTGTGTGTGTGTGTGACGAGGGCATCGCTGTTTACATGTCAAGCCTCTTTTTTTGTTCCAGAAGGCTGGCATGCTGTCTTAAAATAACACACATGGGACAGCAAAGTGCCAACTTGGGGAGCTTCTTCACGACTTGTGTTAAAAAATTGGTGGATGTTTTTATGTGCACACAAACTCTTTAAGACACAAAATGATGTGCAACATTTCAAAGATGCCTCTGTATTTGGTGATATGACAAGGAGAAAAGTGGGCTGCAACAGATAACATATTGACTCCCTTCACTGCATCAACAGGTGATCAACACCGCGCTGTCATCCTTTCTTTCTTTGGCCCTTTTTGGAGTTTTATGAAACTCATGTGAAGCAGCTGATTGGTCTCCAGATGTTAGATATCACAGTCTCAGATCTGTCCTCTCTGTAGGGAGAACCTCTGGCTGGCTTTCACAGGATAGTCTGACTCAATTTGTCTCTGCACACAGGAAGCACTGTCAGTATGATCCATCTAGAGAAGAAGTATTTGAATCTGAACCTTGAATGTCAGGGCACACTATTGTTAAAAAAAAAACTTTTCTACCTTTTTATCTTC